CTTTAAGTGTCGATAGGGGGTGGGGGGGGAGGGGGGGGAGGGGGTTTATGCTCATAGTTGGGCATGCCGTAGTCGTTAGGCCATTGACCTCGCATCCCTACAAAGCCGGGACGGAGCACGCCGGGTTCTCACCGGACCAGGCTCTCACATCACCAAGCGCGAAGCGCCGTGAGATGTTCGGCGAGTCGCATGAAGGGTGCGCTGCATCCTGCTAAGGGTGTTCGGCATCTTGTGCTTACTTCCTTGCATACGGATGACAGGTTCCCGGGGGGGGGGGTGACCTTTGTGTCCGGAATATTTTTTTTTACTACATACACTGGTCAGTGTATGTTTGCGTACAACCACTGTACAACCATCCAGGGTCACACTGGACCGGGTAAACACCAGAGCTTTTTTCTTCTTTTTACTTCGAGTATTTCATTTTCTTCATGCCCCACCTTCCTCCTGCGGTGCGTGCTGAATAATATTTTTATCACGAGCAGGGTCTAGCCGTCAGTTTCCCTCGTCAACGGTGCAAGCGTCGAAGTTTGGTTTTCACGAAAGGAGCCTTTTCAGCTATTATTCGCGTTCACCCGCAATTTTTTTCAATTTTTCCACCCCATGGGGATTCGAGCTCACGACCTCTGCGACTAATAGCGGTTTCGAGGCTACCACTACATAGATTAGACCACCGTGGCGACCGGTCGGAAAAAAATTGAAATATACCGCCGAGGGATGCAACCCGCGGTGGCTAGGTGCACTTGACATGTAAACCCCGCCGTCTGTCGTTGTCTGCGCCATAGTAGTACAGCATACGACGCTCCTAGACCTGGGAGTGTTCCTTTCTGTGCATCCTATCCAGCAAAAAACAAGGATTTCATACAACCTGTGGGTCCTGCATAACTTATGTGCATGAAAAGAAATTATCTTCGTTGTCCTTATCGCATGTCAACATGTCCTGCGGGGTGTGTGATGTTTGATAATTCCAATCGCGCTTAGAGGCGATTCTGAGATCTGGCAACCAAAAAACACGAATACGTACCTTCCTGGTGTCCCAGGCGGTGTTTCGTATCCTCGACGGATATGTTCAGCTTTCTCAAACCAGAACTCTTTCATTTACCCTCTGGCAATTGCCTTTTACGTAGTTGACACTCGCTTTGCTTCGGCAACACAACATGAGCATCGTATGTGAAAGCTTGACCGATTCCAGCTCTTGTTGGCGAAACCGGCTCCCAAAAACAATCCATCATACACATGCTGCCATACTACGCTGTCCACAGTCTGCTCTACCCCTGTCATCAAAGAGCGTGACGCATGACGCAGGGCAAGGTACCGTCGACTCGTAATTACACAGCTCACTCAATCTAACGCCTTCGATTTGTGAAGTCAGACCAGCGACCTACGTTGCCCCAGAAAAAATGATTCCACGCTAGACGTAAAACGTTTGAGCTTTGTACAGTTCACACTTGTCTCACGAAAGAAAAGCTCGCAAGCTTGTTGCAATACTCAATCGAAGCGGCGCGAACTCCAAGCGGCATGCCCATCGACAACCCCTCACACCGACAACGTCGTTGGAAACCTTCCGAGCCCTCATGACACCCCCGCATCAATCTCAAGCCGGGATTTCTAGTATATGTGGATCTCTGCTGCCATTCTTGCGGGGCTGTTCTCCAAGTACAGTAGTTTGTCGCGGTCCCGGCAATGACTTGTTTCATAGACCCTGAAACGGAGAGAATTGTCTAGGAAAGCTTCCCCTAAAGCGTTCGTTGGCTTCACGAAGCGTGCTGTGATAAGAAGAGCGAAAGTGAAAACCAGTATAAGCGCACCATTCCCTAGCACAAGGATGACGACCACATGGTCAGGTTGTTGCCGTTTCCCGGGCCCTGTGCCGTGCTCTAGCCATGCCCGACGGCAATTGGCATGTTTTCCTGCCGGCACCGAAGCAGTCGTCAACGCATTCCCGGAGCTCGAAAGCCCGGCGGAGAGCATGATTGGGATGCCGCAGCCGCAGCCGCAGTCGCAGCCCCCGCCGCCGGTGCGGTGGCGTGGCCTTGCTCTGCAGAGGGCATAGGGTTCTGACCATCGTGCCCTTGCGCGTCTGAAGCTTCTCCTCCTTGCACAAACCGCATACCGCCAAGCTCATGGTCAGCCTCTTTCCCACCACGCCCTCCTCCTCCCTCTCGTTCTTCTCCTTCAACTCCTCTTCCACCGTTTTCGGGACCTGCTTCCTGCTGTTCTCGGAAAGGTCAAACAAGGTCAAGTCCCCATAACATACGTTGATGGAACGCCGCATATAGGTACTGCACCCCAGCTTCCGGTTCCGTATTTGTTAAAGAGTGAGTACGTTTTCGGGCCACGGGTACACATGATGCTTCACGGAACGGTGTAAAGGTGCACCAATCCCATGGCACGTCATTTCGACGGTATATTTGCTTTCATCTCAGGTGGGGGAATACCACCCCCACGTGGACCTTCGTCTGCAAACCCTCATTGTACCGAGCACCCTGCTTGACACAAAATAGTGTATATACCGTTGATGAAGGGAGGAGATGGAGGTAGAGAACGAACCCAAACAACATCTGCATTGACATACAGTAGAACGCGTGCTATGGGCATCTTCCTGCTGCACAAGTTCGGTGCTCCCACCCCCAACCCGTCCTCTCTGTCCTCCCCAAACACCCATCCACATCAAGCTGCAGGCCGTGGCGATGTGCAGCCTTCCATTGGCGTAAACTTGTGTGTGTGCTCACACTTCGTCCCTCTGCACACTTAATCCTGTTTTCCTACACACAAACGTACAAAAGTATTGAACCGCTCTTCGACGGCTTCGGTGCGCCACAGCACGCTTCCCTACCTCCTTCCTGAGGTCCTCGTTGATGGCCTCCACGCTGTTGGCATACTCCTCAAGCTGGCTCATGTACTCCATTTGCCTGTTGCAGGTGTCGTTCAGGCGAGCAATCTGACGATGGGGCGGCATCACGACGTGCGTGGCATGAAGGGCGCAACGGCACCCGCATGCGGAGAGAAAAAAACCCGGGCAGGAACAGTAAACGGACGAGTGCGTGTGAGTGCCATCGTCAAGGCGTGCTGGCACAATTTTGTGCCTGCACTGGTGTTCATGGACAAGGGCTGGCCCTGCATGAAAACCAGATATCATTGCCGTTGTATCAGCATGGCGACGCAAAAACGAGGACGCGGCAAAGGCCTTGCAAAGGAGGTACATATCACTGCTTTGGTTTTCAACCGTACGCTTCGTGAGGCGTTGCGAAAATGCCTCATTAAACAGGTGTTGCAGAGAGCTGCGATAAATTTTCATTCAGACAGAGGTTGCAAGCGCAGTTACCATGGTATGCAAGCATGGGCAGCGAATAGGCGAGCCCTCTGCGATCACGAGGCTACGGTGAAAATGAATACCAAGATAGCGCCATGCCGGCGACCAAGCACCAAGGAGACAGGGGAGAAGCCTTCCTGCTGTAGACAACGAGCGGACGGGTATCAGCCATGGCGCTTGGGTAGAAAATTTCATGGATGCCGAACTACGTCCAAAGCTAGAGTAGACATCAAAACACGCATCTTCACTCACGCATAATGCAGAGTATATGCGGCTTGAAAAAGTACAGTGGAGATCGTGTGCAACAACCGTGAAAAACATTACAGACGGGGGTCTTTTTCTTTTTCCTTTCTTCCTTCTTTTCCTTTTCCTTCATGTGTTATTTTTCTTTTTCCAATCTAGAGTTATCTCGCATAGCGTGTAGAGGCGAGCGGAGTGGCCTAGACTATCTGTTGTTGCCCTTCGGGTCCATTTTATTTTCGTTACTACCATTTATGGGGAAAGTTAGTGACCACGGGAATCGACCCCGTCAAGTGTTTGACTAGAACGGACAGAAGAAGGTACTGGGCAGAGAGAACGGAACGGTTTTAATGTGAAGACAACAAAAGCAACAACGGGGGAGTGCAAACCAGGCACGACCACGTTTTCGTTTCAAGGTGGAACATGGATACTTTCGGATGGCACAAACCCAGAACCGACCCCTAGGATTCGGACAGTACAGCCTGGACAAAGTCGCTGTAGAACGTTCCGAAAGTTCTCACTACTGAAACAAACGTTTCGTTGGCTGGGTGAGTATCCACGTTTCCAGCAGAGAGACAAAATGAGAGAGGCATATCGGCCTTGACCTTATCGCCACGAGCAAGCATTACAATGAGGGTGAGTAGGTGTATCGTCTGCCCGCGGACCAACACAAACCAGAACGCTCTCCCCGCGAAAAGAGGGGTGCTTGCGACATGTAAGGGCCCCATTCAACCTAGTTGAATATCCGAAGTACGGAAACGAGACCAAGCAGGGTGCAACGGGTAGCAACTCGATGGGACGTATGCAGATGAGAGTAACGGGATGAGGTAAACGGGACCGCGAAGGAGTGTGGTTGCTGTTTAGAGGAGGGTACCATTTCCGAAAATGTGACAAGGTGCCAGACCTACTCTGAATGAAGCTCGATTCGCGCAAGCAGCTTCAGAGAACATACCCCAACCGTGTTCCTAGCTGCGCCTCAGACTTTAGAATCCGCACCTCATTCTCAAGCGCGGTGATGTGCTGCTGTTGTCGTTGCTGTTGCTGCTGCTGCTGCTGCTGCTGATGGGTTTGCTGCTTGTTCTTTCCGCTTCCTTTGTCTACCCGAGGGCTTCCCGCGCTGCTCTTGCCACCTGCGCCGTTGCGCTAGTGCA